AGGGTCAAGGACTGCAGCCTTCAGTATGGACTGAGGCTCAATGTCAAGAAGACAAAGATTCTCACCACTGGACCAATTGGCAGCATCAGGATAGATGGTGAAGAGATTAAGATTGTTCACAGCTTCAGTTTGCTCGGCACCACAGTCAACACTCTTGGCACCAGCAGCCAGGAAATAAAAAAACGTATTGCGATGGGAAAGTCTGCTGTTAGGGACCTCTCTAATATACTCAAGAGCAACGGTGTGTCTCTAGAGACTAAGGTGCATCTGGTACAGGCCATGGTCTTCACAATCACTTGTTATGCATCAGAGAGTTGGACAGTGACTAGGGAGGATAGAGGAAGCATTGACACCTTTGAGCTGTGATGCTGGAGAAGAGTATTGAATGTACCCTGGACTGCCAAGAAAACAAACAAATTCATCCTGGAGAGGGTTAAACCAAGCTACTCCTTGGAGGCAAGGATTCTGGGTCTTTGTCTGACATACTTTGGGTATGTTGCAAGGAGGGACAGGTCCTTGAAGAGGGCCATCGTGCTTGGGAGGGTGGAAGGATGGCGCAAGAGAGGAAGACCCTCTATGAGATGAATTGATTCAGTGACTGGGGTAATCAGGACGGGTGTGTCAGAGGCAGTAAGATTTGGCACAGGGTAGAGCAGGGTTTAGGGCTGTTGTACATAGGGTCTCTATGAGTCACAAACGACTGGACAGCACATAACAACAACAACAACAACTTAAACTTGCTTCATATATAAAACTATCAAATTCAAATTCACTAAAAATTGTTTGAGTTACTAGCTCAGCTAGAATGATTTTTGTCTTAGTTTTTTAGATTTTCTTAGATTTTTGAATCTTAGACTAATTTGAATAATGCCTCAGTGTCACGCATTTTTAAGGAAAATATTCTTCAATAATAATTTTAATTATTAATGATACTAATATATATTAATTACTACAAAATTCAATCACTGAAAGGGCATTATTGGTTGTTATAGAAACTATGGATAGCTAGTAAAATATTTCTGAAGATTTTTTTAAAATTCCTAGGACACTACATCCACAGGAAACAGGCAGAAACTCAAGTGGGATTTCAAAAGTGGCCGTGGCACTAGGGAGATCATTGCTAGTATCAGAACTAGCCTGAAAGCAGAGAGTATGTTTATCTGTTTTTAATTGCCTTTGTACATAAAGGCATTTGACTGTGTGGCTCACAACAAATTATGGATAACATTAAGAAGAACGGGAATCCAGAATTCTTAATTATAAGAAACTTAGGCTTAGTCCAAGAACCTATTGTCCAGACAAAACATGAGAAGCCTTCAAATCAGCATAAATGTGAATCAGGATTGTATCCTTTCCCCATACCTGTTCAGTCTGTATACTGAACAAATCAATCAAGAAACTGGATTATGTGAAGAAGAGTCAGGATTGGTGGAAGGCACATTAACACCCTGCGTTATATAGACGCATTTCACTTGCAGACAGAATAGGCCTCAAGCATTTGCTGCAGAAGGTCAAAGACTACAGCCTTCAATAGTAATTACATCTCAACAGCAAGAAAATAAAAATCCTTACCACTGGACCAAGAAGTAGCATCTTGATGGATGGAGAAAAGATTGAAATTCTCAACAGTTTCATTTTACTTGAATCCACAATCAACACCCAAGGTAACAGCAATCAAAAAAATCAAAAGATGTATTGCATTAGGAAAATCTGCTTCCACGGACTTGTTCAAAGTGCTAAAGAACAAGGATGTTCGTTTAAAGACTAACTAAGATGTACTTGATTCAAGCCATGGTCTTTTATTTCTCATGCATCTGAAAGTTGAACATTGAACAAGTATGACAAATAAGAATTGCTGTCTCTGAATTGTGCTGTTTAAGAGTTATGCATATGCCGTGGGCTGCCAGTAGAACAGTCAGGTCTGTCCTGGACAAAGTGCAACCAGTGTACTTTTAGACTCAAGATGGTGACACTTCATCCTACATACTTTGCTATGTTGTCACAGGGGACCAGTCCTTGGAAGGAGATGTCATGCTTGGAAAGGTGGAAGGTCAGAGAAAGAGAGGAAGACTTCCAATAAGAATTGACACAGTGACTATAACAATGGGCTCAATCATATCAGAGATGATGGGATGGCACAGAATAGAGCAAAGTTCAGATACGCTGTTCATAAGGTCTCAGTGAATGGTAGGCAAATCACTGGCAATAATATGTATAGGTTTCTATACTAATCAGCTGAAAACCACAAAAAAATATCTACCAGTTTATTGTTTTGGAGCAGTTTGGTGGCACCAATAGTTGAGCATTCAACTACTAGCTGGAAGGTTAGAGGTTGAAACTCATACAGTGTACCTCAGAGAAGCCAGCAGCCTATTGACCTATATGCCAAAGTGCAAAGCCTTGAAATCCCTACAGATTAGTTTTATTCTACATGCCTGGGGATCATTATGAGTCAGAATTGACATAAAGGCAACTAAAATTGCCTGGAAACATCAATGAAGCAATTAAGGGAAAGATTCAGAAACCTTTTAAAAATTATTTGCTGTCAAGTCACTTCCAAGTTAGGTAGACTTCCCATCCAATTTCCAAGGCCATACATCTTTATGGGAGGAAAGTGCCCCTCTTTCTCTTACAGAGTGACTTATAAATTTGAACTGCTGACCTTTTGATTAACAGCTCAATACCTTACACAGTAGTCTACCAGGGCTCTTTAAAAATTTTGTAAAATATCAGTGAAATAGACATGAAAAAATAATATTTACACCTAGTTGATAATTCAGTTATTACCACATTACTTTGTTTGTTGTTGTGTGCCTTCAAATCAACTATGACTCATAGGAATCCTGTACCTCTACCTTATCCTGTACCATCCTCATCATCTCTGATACACTTGAGACTGCTTCTGTAGTCACTTCATTTAAGATCTTCCTCTCTTTCACTGAACCTCTACCTTTCCCAACATGATGTCTTTTTTCCAAGAACTGATGCTTCCTAGCAACATGCCCAAAGTATGTGAGATGACAGTTTATCATCCTTGCCACTAAGGAATACCTTGGCTGCTCTTTGTCCAAAGCAGACTCGTTTATTCTTTTGGAAGTCTGTATGATATTCAGTACTCTTCATGAATGCCATAACTCAAAGACATTGATTCTTATTCTGTCATCCTTATTCATTGTCCAACTTTCATATGCAGAGGATTTAATTGAAAAACTATGGCTTAAATGAAGCACACCTTAGCCTTTAAAGTGACCTTACTGTTCCTCAGCACCTTAGAAAGGTCTTAGACAGTAAATTTCTTCAGTGCAACACATCTTTTTTATTTTTTTCTTACTACACAGAATCAGATTGACTAAGTCTGTGGAACAAATCACTGGAGAAGCTCAACATCAGTCAAAACCAGGCCAGGTGCTGACTGTGGAACAGACTATCAACTACTCATGTTCAGGGTCAAGTTGAAGTTGCAGAAAATCAAAACAAGTCCACCCAAACCAAAATACAAACTATCCTACCTGACATTAAAAACCTCTAAAAAAGGTTTGGAATATTGAACACTAATGATTGTTAATCTAATGAGTTGTGGGATGACATCAAGGATGTCCAGAAAGAAAGCAAAAGGTTATTACAAAGACTGAGGAGGAAGAAAATACAAATATAGATTTTAGAAGACACTCTGAAAATGACACTAAAATGTTGAGACACCAAAACATAAGGGAGAAATGCCAAAGTAAAGGAGATGATCAAAAGATTTCAAAGAACAGCTCAAGAAGACAGAACAAAGCATTATAACCAAGTGTACAAAGATCTGAAGTTAGAAAGGGAAGTACTCACTCAGCATTTCTCAGGCTGAAAGAATAGAAGTACAAATTCAGGCTTCAAGTTGCAATATGGAGATGCTGTGGGCAAAATCTAGAATGATCTAGAAAGTATCATATGAAGATGGAGGGAATACACAGAGTCACTGTACAAAAGAAGAGTTGATTGACCAGAATCATTTCAGGAAGTACCCCATGAACAACAACTAATGGTGATGAAGGAAGAAGTTTAAGTGACACTGCATTGATGGCCCCACGAATCGATGAAATGTCAACTGACATGTAACAGATACAGTCCTAGACATGATCACCAGCCTATGCCAGGAAGTTGGGAAGACAGCTGCCTGGCCAACTGACTGGAAGTGATCCATATTTGTTTCCATCCCCCAAAAGGTGATCCAGCTGCATGTGGAAATTATCAAACAGTATCTATAATCTACTAACATCAACTAATCAATATTGCTTTGGATCTTAAAAAGTAATTTTGTATTTCAAACATTTATGGTAAAATAATAATTGTTAATTATCCAAAATTATAAAAAGTTGAAGATTTTAAAAAATTAAATGGTAAAGATAAATAAATGCATATATTGTGGTTACTTTTTATTGAAACAAAGAAAGTGCCCCTTTGTCAATATAGGTCTCAAAGATTTGAATGACAGATCGGATGTTGGTTTGGGGTGGGGTTTTTTTGAGATGAGAGATTATAATCTGATTTGTTTAATGTGAGTCTAATATTTTAATGTAGAAAGGAATTCAAATGGAAACAAGAGAAGTCTTCATTTTGCGTCACTGCTTTTGTATGAGTTTGAATTCATTGAGGCTCAGTCAACCATAGTAATAAAAATGCCAGGACATCAAGCAAAAGTCACCCCAAAAAATGAAGCTTTATTTGTGTTGTCCATGACTTAAGCATAATAAATACAGTACATGTAGTCTGAGTATCTTGTTTCTCATTGTCTTCCATTATCTGTCTTTCCTTTCCCCTGCCTTTTATCATGCTTACATAAATACAGGAGGCTTTGATGGCAGCTGAAATCAGCCAAAAGAACATTAAAAAACATAAGATTCTGGTAAGTATATAATTTTATTATGTAGAAAGCAAGTTTTCTCTTTCAATAAATTATAATGTCATTTCAAAAGAGAAGTGTTTTCTATCTTTTAAGAATTTGTTTCACACTGATTCTCTGACCTCAGAGGTCAAAGTATTTCATTTTATTGAATCTGTGTCTGCTTGTGTACATGCCTTCAGACTTTACCACTTGATAGGTCGTCATTTTAGATAATTTTGTAACTTTATTTGTGAGATGGAGCATTGGTAGCACATGGGTGAAACACATTTTAAGTATAACGCTCAAATCCTAGGTAAAATTATATTATTGCAAAATTTATCAGAAGAGTGGTTTCATAAAACTCAGTTGCTTCCATATCTCCATAACTGACTCAATTGATTCTCTTATGGAGACTGATCTAGGATATCAAATATATTTTATTACATTTTGACTATGGAAACAGAAGAGCCCATGTTATTACCAACTGTGACAGTGAACGTGCAGATGAAGGACAGAGGAAAAAATATATTCTTGAGTGTTCAGGGGTCCTTAGATACAGTTTTGTTTTTAACAAAGTCCTCATTACTGTCGCATCACAACATAGCTGACCCTCCAGGGAGGTTTACAAAGCGTAAACTGCGCAGGAGGAGAGTGCCTGTTTTCCTCCCTTGAAGCCAATCATGGATTCAGATCACCAGCTGGAGGCCCGCTTTGGGTTAGCAGCACAGTAGTCTCCAGGCTACAGTACTACCAGGCCTCTCTCATTTACCTCAGTGCCCTTGTTTTATAGGTGAAAATGACAACTTTCTTTTTCTGTGGTGATGTGAGCTTTAGCAGAAATTTCTTTTGCCTACACTCGCACAAGGAACTTTGGTGGTTCAGTGGTTAAGCACTTGGCGATTAACTAAACCTGTTTGGGAGAAAGATAGAACAGTCAGCTTCCTTAAAGATTTCCAGCTTTAAAGACCCTGCAGGGTGTGCTGCTCTATGTAGAGTCACCATCAGTTGGCATTCATTCAGCAACAGCAGGTTTATTATTTTGTTTGCTTCACACTTAAGAGATAACATGCTGAGAAAGGTGGAGTGTCAGAGAAAGAGAGGAAGACCCTCAACGAGGTCGATTGACACAGTGACTGTACCAGTGGGCTCCCGCATTATCAGAAATTGTGAGCATGACACAGGATGGGGGAAGGCTCAGATCTGTTGTTCATAGGGTCGCTATGAGTCCTAGTTGACACCTAACAACAACAAAATGTCATAGAAGAGTCTATGCCTTTGAATCTTGGTTTTGAAAAAGAGTATAGAATATACCACGCACTGCCAAAGGAACAAACAAGTCTGTCTTGGAGGAAGTATAACCAGGAGGCTTCCGAGAGGTGTGGATGGTGAAAGTTTGTCTCACATAGCTTGGGCATGTTGTGAGGAGAGGCTAGTCCTTGAAAAAAAGACATCATGCTGGGAAAGGTAGAGGGTCAACAGAAGAAAAGAAGACCCCCAGTTATATGGACTGACACAGTGACTATCACAGTGGGCTTGATATTGACATAGATGATGACAGTAATGCATGGTAGGGCAAGGTTCAGACCTCTTCAGAGGGTTGCTATGGTGCATAGTCATCTTGATAGAACCCCCCAACAGCATACCATTAACTGTGTTCATGCAAGACCTATACTTACTTGAATTAGGAAGCAGTAGTCAGAGCAGAGCAAGGAAACACCACATGGTTCAGGATCAGGAGTGGTGTACGTCAGGGATGCGTCCAGTCGCCATACCTTTTCAATCTGTATACAGAACAGATCATTCAGGAGGCTGGACTATATAGGGAGGAGTGTGACATCAGGATTGGAGGAAGACATTTTGCGTTATGCAGATGACCCAGCCTTGCTTGCTGAAACTGAGGGGACATGAGGCATTTGCTGCAGAAGCGTAAGAAAGAAACACACAAAATTAAAGAAATAGACATTTAACCAGGTTGCCAGTAGTGTCTTACTGTGACCTTAGTGTCAGACGTCCTCCTCAGGAACTGAACTTGGACATTTTGGTTGCTTCAATTGAATGATGAAACTCTTTTTCTTTTCCTAGGATATTGGTTTGGCATACATAAATCACCTGATGGAGAAAGGAGAGTATGACGTAGCAGCACGGTAATAATGACATTTTCACCATTAGTTATTAATATAAAAAGTAGAATTGATTAATGTTAATAATAACAAGCCATTATATACAGTTTAGACACTTTCTTCCTTACATCTTCTTATGACCCCAACATTTGACTAGTAAGGTTTCAACCGCAGAATGGATTCTTCTGTATTATTTCCCTACATAAATGTTTCATCCTTATCAGAGAAATGGTTTAACATTCCATAAGAAATTTCTGAAGAACAGTAAAGAGTCTGAAATGCCACCTTGTTTATAAGCCAGCATGTGAGCCTGTCATACTGTCATGTATACTTTCCTTTCTGAAAGATTTTCTCAAGACAAAAGACTATCTCATACAAAAGAGAGAAAAAAAGTTTTCACAGAGTTCCAGCCTCTGCTCCAGTTCCCAAAGTCCCACTGCCTACAGGGCACAGGCAGGACCAGATGGCCAGGCACATGCAGCAAGTTTGTTATAGGAAAGTTATTCTGACTTTAAGGAATACCTACCTGACCTTTGCTCCAGAATGAACCAATAACATTATTACACCAGATAGTAAACACACCTGCCCTTTGTTCTGAATGGAGATAGACCTTGTCCCATCTCATTCCCAATGCTGTTCACTCTACAGGCATCCTTGAGGAGACAATCTGGAATGAAGGCAGTCTAGGATTTCTGCTCACAATTTATGCAAAAACATGACTCACGCCAAATTGTCTCCTGACAAAAGAGAGGCAATTAAATAGACGTGGTTGAATCCCAGACTCCTGGTTTATCAGGTCTCTGACAGGGAGAAAATATAAATACTGTATGATAGCAGTTTTGCTTTGTGAACAGTTCCTGCTAAGACCATGCACATCTGCACGAAAACCTTTCAGCCTGAGCGATACCTTAAATCTTAAAAGGCCAACTCTTAAACTCCTGAGATAGAAAAAAAAAGTTTGTTTCGTATTTTAAATAAGGTTTCATTCACATGTGATCTGTCACTCTCCCGGGTAGTAGATATATTCTCATTTTCTGAAGTCATTTTGTGGTCAAATTTTTAAAACAATTTAAGCATTGGTTTACACTGGCACTTTTAATTAAAGCTATGTATAGTGGACTTTTATTTAAGGCAGCAAAGACACCCCAAACTAGCAGTACTCAATTAGATAAAAGCAAATTCAAAACAGGAAAATCACTTGGGGAAAATGCCTATTGTAGTCTTCTGACAGAGATGTTTCTTTACTTATTTATATATTTTCGTTATTTCTGTCGGACTTTTGTACACAATCAAGTGAGTGATACTGGTACCTTGTTGCATTAGGAAGAGAGTCAGACGTTTGGAGTGAGGTCTGTTAGATAACTAGAATAATTCTGCCTTCTCATTTTTACTTATTTGTCTGTTACCATTTCTTCCTCCTGGGAATGATCTCACTCCAGAAAATGCCAGAAAATTCTTGGGAAAAATGCAGCACTCTGGGAATATGAAGTTTATAAATTTAAAGAAATCAAACAGCTCAAGGTAAGCAAAATTTTATGTTTAACTCTTTAATCTCACATATATTTTTATTGTGGTGGTTTTAAGTTAACTTACTAACAATCCTGTGAACAACAAATCAGAACTCTGCCCTTTAACATATTAATATTGACGTGAAAATAAAGTTGATAGTTCCCTGTTAGAAAGCAAATATCTTAGAGGGAAAATCAAACTTTCAGAAATTAGTTTCATATAATATACTGTGATTAGTTGTATAACACTCAAAAAGATATAAAACATGTAATAATTTCGTGAATTACTAAGTTGTTATATAATAAAATTATGTGTGTTATATATATACTGCATATTAGAATGTATGATGTGTTTCTTGTCTCCTAGTACGCTGTTAAGATGAATTTTCAGATTTTCCTTTTTTTAGGCGTTTCACATGCTTTTTTGGAGCTCTTTTACACACACACACACACACACACACATCACTCTTTCTTCCAGTACTCTGTTCAGATGAATTTTCAGATTTTCTTTTTTTAGGCATTTCACATGGTTTTAGAGTTGTATTAGACACACACACACATGCACGCGCACACACACACACACCACACACACACACACATGCTACTAGTGTTCCAGATAGATATGTAAATCTCTTGGGAGAAAGATTGACAGTCTCTAGTCTCTGAAAACCCACTGGAGGGTCAGCTATGGGTCACTTCCCACTCAATAATACATAACAGCATATATAGAGTATATACAAAACTCCCTCCTTAGTTGTTTAGCCTTTGACTCCTCATTGCTGACTCCATGTTATACCCACTGGAAGCGAACTCACCACAGACACTTCTCATGAGGTTGCGTGTACCTGATATATGAATTTCATTTAGCTCCTATTTACCCTTTTGGTTTTATACTGTAAATGTGTCCCAATTGTTTGATGACCATTTCTTTATATATATTCTTTGGTTAACTCTAAATAACGTGAATTCATTTTCCTTCCCAAATTTGATTCTTCACTTTTCAGTATGTCCTATTACTTCATGGAATACCCATTTCCTCATTCCTAATGTCTTTAAAGCTGCTGTCCTTGAAAAGAGCATCTTACTCAACTTATTCTATTTAATCTCTAATTCTTGTCAGATTTACCTAGTGAATACCAATTGGGCCTGTCTTCTGTTCCAGTGCCACTGCTTCCTTAACCTGAGCTGTCGCTAGGTTCTTTTGATAGACTCATAGGCTCATGCATAGTTTGGTTTTGGTTGATAAGAGAAAAAAAACAAAACAACAAACACCTGATTATTATCTACTCCTCTCTGTTCCTTTCCCACTGACCTTAGTTGTCTAATGCTGCTGTAACAGATACCACACATGGAAGGCTTTACTAAACAGACATTTTTTATCATAAAACTTAGGAAGCTAGGAGGCCAAAGGGGCCGCCTCTAAAATAAGCCTCTTCCTTTCAGTTGTGGAGGAAAGTCTTTGCTTCCTTAAGTGTCTGTAAGCCAACTGGAGATTTCCCTGTGCTCTGGCCTTCTCTGGTCTTAAGGGGAGTCCGAAGACCCCACCCCCTCCTGGTGATTATTTATTTGTGGTACTGAGGTGCAGTCCCCCATCTTGGCTCACTTCTCTCCCCTTTTAACTCTTGTGAGATAAAAGTATCACAGGCCACAGCCTACAGGAACTTCCTTTACATCAGATCAGGGTGGGATGGATTTCAGGGGCTTTGCATTCCACCCTTAATCCTTTTACAGCTGTTTGGTTTGTCAGGTTATGGGAGAGCATTACATAGTTTCCACATTTTATCATTGCTGCTGTTTGGTGCTGTTGAGTTGACTGCCACCCTTGGTGACCCTGTGAACAATACGTTGGAGCCTTGCCCTCTACTGTGCATCTTGATGATCTCCAACATGCTCAAGCCCGTTGTTAGTCTCTTGTCAGCCCGGCTTGTTGAGGATCTTTCTCTCTTTCCCTGATTACATGCATGTCTTACGGGAAGCACAATTCAAACCATGACATGACCGAATTCCTCCCTGATTCTATCCTGTCCTCCCTCTCCAGCCTCCTCTTCCTTCCGTAACCACCATTTCACATCCTGAGTCTCTGAACACCAGTGTGCACTGATGTTGACATATGTAGTTCCTCTTTTTTCTATTTTTTTGCCTAATCTAAATATCAAGCATTTACTTATTCTGTATGCTGGATACTCCTCTGGTCACCATAGCACTTTACCAAGACTCAGTTCTTCTGAAGGTTGCTACAGATGTTACAGTGATCTGTTCAGGCACCAGCCCATCTTATTCTGCTGGGGCTGTGAACCCTTTGGAATGGTGACTCTAGTTCTCTGTTCCCAGTACAAAGTATCATGTTTGGTTCATAGCACACTACAGTTATTTAACAGTATTGGGAAATTGGACAGTAATATTTCAGATTTCTCCCAAAATCTAAAACCAAAGCAATTCTATGAATCCTTTCTTAACCTAAAGTGGCCTAAAGTGAAGAAACAGTTACCATTTGTTAATCCGGGAAATTTTTATTATCATTCACAGACCCCAAAAATAGTCTGTGGAATCATATCAAATAACATAGAAAGCCTAAAATCACAGTGACATCTGGAGCTCTCAAACATCGTTCACAGCTTTTGGTGCTCTGATGCTGAGATGCAGATCCTGGGGAGGGAGCAGGAAAAGCCACTGTTAGTGCTTGGGTTATAGACTGCTGCTCTATCAGCTTCCTGAAAAACAATTCTAATTGCCAGGATGCTTTTCACATTTTTCACATGTTAGCAACAACACTTTTGCAGTTAGCAAAAATAGGTACTGATGTGGGTCTATAGTGAAAAGGAAGTGTGACATCAAGTGAACTTTGAAAAAAGTAGGCATTACGTATATCCTAAAAGCCCAAGGTATATGACAGTAATTTCAAAAGATGGTGTTGGGCTTTTTAAAGGTTAAACTCCATTTTAAGAAAACAGAGGCAAGTAGATTACCTATATGAAGTAATCCTTGATTACTTGAGAAATTAAGTTTCTGATCTCTGTGATCTTGCACTTCTGAGCTTCCCATGAATTCATCAGACATAGCGAGGAGATAAAGATTTATCTGGGTAAATTTTTTGTTCATTCATTCATTCACTTATCTTTTTGTTATTATTGTTATGTGCCATTGAGTCACCTGGAACTCATAGTGATCCTATGTACAACAACCCTAACCCTGCTCTATCCTGTGCCACTCTTATTGTTTCCAATATACCTATCCCCATTATCCCAGTCACTGAATGAGTCCATCTCATTGATAGTCTTCCTCCCCTGCATTGTCCCTCTATCCTCCCAAGCATGATATCCCTTTCCAAGGACTGGTCCTTCCTTGAAACATGTCCAAAGTATGCCAGACAAATTTTCAGAATCCTTTCCTCCAAGGAGCAACCTGGTTTAACCCTCTCCAAGACAAACCGATTCATTCTCTTAGCAGTCCATGGTATATTCAGTACTCTTCTCCAACACCACAGCTCAAAGGCATCAATTCTTCTGTCATCCCCAGTCATTGTCCAGT